TCTCGGGGTACCCCCAAACCTGCACCTGCAGAGCTGTCAGCAGCATCCAAAGGGTCCCAGAGGTTAACCCCTCCTCGCAACTCCAACCCTTCCCTCTGCCTAAAAGTGGATTTGGGGCATGTTTGTTTGCAGCAAGGTGAGGAACAAGCAGGGGAAAACCTCAGGTTTCTATTGGGAAGCGCCCGTTGGTCTTTGCTGTGGACAGACTGCGTGTCTCTGTAGCAGTCTTTCAATCGAGGCACCAGTAGGTTGGGCGTTTGCTTTGGTTTTTTATATTTTACTGTAGTCTCCCAGAGCAGGTTCCCTCAGGTGTGGAGGTGTTTGAATGAGGCTTTGCAATGTCAGGTTGTGAAGCACAATGTTGATGTTTTAAATATTTTTTTTTCCATGTGTCCCTGAAGGTCAGAAATTTGCCAGATGCAGGAGGAATGAGGCTAAAATAAGCATCCCTGCTGGAAAAATTCACTCGCCCCAGAATTCCTATGCCATTTTCTTACTGCCCGGTGTTGTGGATCCCTGCCAGAGTGGGTTTGACTAATCTTTGCCTGTGACTCAGAACTGAGATGTATTAGGAACCTCTTTTTTTCTTCTTTTTGCTTTTTTTCTTCTTCTTCCTTTTGAAAAATGAAGTGAAAGTTTATCAACCTGTGCAGTTAAATGAGAGCTCTGCCAGCCAAATGAGGAAGTAAAACCTTCCTATAGAACGAGCTCTAACCTGCTCACTGCACTTGTTTGCTCTCAGCCTTGCCATAAAGCCTCTAAATACGGGGCGACGACTTCCTTGTGAGCCCGGTACTGCTCTGGATCCAGCTTCTGGCTCGCAGATGGTGGGGTGGGTTTGCTGGGACGCAGAAATCACAGCTGGCGGGTAAGGTGCGGAGCAAGTGGGGCTACCTGTGCGCAGGGCTCATGCTCTGGGGTGTTTGCTTTTGTTTGGTTTTGGGCAAACGCAGCCGGGAAGGTGGGGAAGAAAAAGGCAAATCTCTTCTTAGTCATCAAGATGACAAATGACTGGTCTTGTTATTAAGAGTTCGTGTGCATCTCTAATTTGTGAGAGTAAAAATTCATATTTTTCTGAAAGCAGAGCAAGTCAGAGACACAGCTCGTGGAAGGGCTCAGATGGGCTGGTGGGCTCAAGTGGTCTGCGGCATGATTCTCAGGGACACAGGAGGAAGAAGCAGCATCCCAGACCTAAGGTGTGAGGGGGAGCACTGTTGTGGCAGGGGGCTGTTGCTGCCCTCCTCGTGTCACTCAGCATGGACACGTCTAGTTTAGAGATGGACCCAAACCTGCTCTGCCTCAACCAGTGCCAGGTCTGGCTGGGGCTGCGTTCCCCTCTGTGCCTGCTACCACCGCTCGGGCAGGACGGGGCTTTGAGGAGTCTCTGCTCCCCCTGAGTCAAACTGGTCCTTACTGTGGTTCTGTGGAGCGAGTGAGGCCGCCGGAGGTGCTGCTTAAACACGCACCTGTGGGGCACCTGGTCCTGCTCTGACTGTGCGCAAGTGGAGCAAACACCTGGTGGAAGGACTAGGCAAAAATTATTCTTTAAAGCCATTCAAAATGGGGAATTAGAATATAACTACTACTTTTTTTTTTTTTAAAAGTTTTTACAAAAAGTTCAAATTATTATTTTCTAATCTTCCAAATCTATCAAAATATAGAAAAGAGAGAAGACCCTGACAGGTCTTTCAATATTTTGGTCAAAAGTAATTTTTTTAATAGCTAAAATGTTAAGATTAAAATAGAATTTTGGAAACATGGCTAAAGCCATTCCCTCTGTGTGTGTGTGTGTGTGTATGTATGTGCGAGAGGGGGCACCCCAACGCAGGCAGAGAGGAGTGCTTTTTAACCTAGAACATAGGGTGGGCACACGATTACCTGTGGATAAATTTAGCCGGGAAATGAGAAGACTTCGGCTCTACAGTGGAGGGAAAACAAAAGCAGCTTCTCAACAGGGTCTCTGAAGTGATGGGGGGGGAAAGTGGCAGGAGGAAATCAGCAGGAGGAAATCTAAGTAGTCTGATAACAAAAGCCATAAAGTTTATAAATGGGATTTCACAACCTGTTTAGCTGTCATAGTAAAAACTGGACTCTGTGATACAGAGTTTCTCTTGTCATAAGCTTTTGTGCTGGTTATAAGCAACCAACTGACCTGTTGGACTTGGGCACACTACTGACTGTTGACTAGCGTGTAAGCTAGTGATTTTATTATCCTTTAATTCTCTCTTTAGGAAGGTGACCTCAGTGTTGGCTGTAACCAAGGCTTTTATCTCAGGGATTCAAACTTCTTCTCTCTGTGGTGAAAACCCTGCAGTCACAGTATTACTCGCTTTTAATATTTGGCCAAACGGCAGCAGAAATCCAGTGGTTAACTTTGCCGAACTAGTGCGTTGCTGGTGATGGCTGATACTGCACCGTATCGACCCCAGGCAGCCACCTGGAGCTCCAGCGCTTCCCGTGCGTTGCCCCGGCTCCCCAAACTGAAGGGGGTTCAGCGGTTGTGCGGAAGGGCCGAGCCTTGCAAAATGCTGCCTGTCAGGAAGCAAAGGCTGCAGCCGTGGACCACGGGCCTGGGGGCTTCCTGGGATGGGGCTGGAAAAGTGATGTGGTGAGCAACCTTCATCCGGCACGTGCTCACGTGTGCTGCTGCTGCTGCTGGGGGCTGCGAGGTGCAGGCGGCGAGACGGACATAGCTTCTGCATCCTCTGCAGCTGGAAAAGTGTCAGGTAGAATTGTGAAGGATTGAATTGAGCCTACTTTCTGATGAAATCCAGGACAAACACACGCACAACGCAACGTGATGCGAACGTGGGAAATTGCTCTGATATTAAAAAACAAAATAAACAAACCATGAAAAAGCATCCGAATAGATAGAAGTACACATTTAAAAAACAGTAGTGATAGGTATTAAAATATGTATTAAATATTTTCTTTTCAACCTGAGGACAGGTAGCAACTAAAGTTTTTCATTTACAATAATTTATTAAAATAATTTAGACATTAAAAAAAAATCAAGTAATATGTGTGTTAAGTGTGTGGAGCCACTGACTGCACACGTGGAAGCAGGGTTTGTTACATCGCCAGCCCAGTTGCGACATTTTCAGCTATGTTCAGGTACAAAGATACATTAATGTGTTTCAGTAGTTATTTCAAAGATGAGAAACCATTTCAGTAATAAAGCAGGCAAATTCCTTTTCATCTTCAGTCAGTGAATTAAAAGCAAGGATTAGGTGTAAAAACTGCGACACTTGTGGAGCGCGCTGTGAGGAAAACCCATCAAGCCCACAGCTAAAATAAGCAGCGTTTTCGTTTAGATAGAAAAATACACATGGTAACTGCTTTCCCCTTACATATGTGACATACTTACGTATGTGACATACTTAAGGTGTTTTTTATTTTACTGATGATATTTGTCACTTTTTAATAGAGTGCCAGATTTCTTCCCCAGAAGAATACCTGGAAGTTATAATGCTATTGTAGAAAAGTAAAGGTCAAAGTTGTATGAGGTGGAGTTAATAACTAATTATCAGTTTTTCCTACTGAACAAATTGATTTTAAATCAACTGAACCCAATGCAGGTTTCTTCCCCATAGGCCAGGGAGACCCTTAATGCTTCAGGGAGGAGCTGCACTCGCGCTCCTCTCCCGTCTCCCTGTCTCCAGTCCCCCTGTGCCTTCCTACAGACGGTTTCGGCTTCTGAGCTCCTGGAGTTGGCCCATTGCTGGGCAGGGAGTGGCCGGCGGCGTGTGGGGTGGGCTGGGAAGGGGAGCTGGTGGGTGCGATGTCATTATGGCTCTGGGCTCATCGTGGAGGTAGTTGTTTGGTCAGACAATTCTGCGTCATTTGCTGGCCGCAATTAGTGAAAGGAAGAGGGCTGTCCTTGCATCCTACGTGTGGGTAGCTGAACCAGCCATGGCTTTTATTCAGGTGGCATGAATAATTGCAGAGGTGTGGTGAGAGGAGCTTTGGTGCAAGCACACGAACAGTGGCTGAAGATGTTTGGCTTGATGGATGAGTGGTCACCATGTACGTCCTGCTCTTGTCACGCTTGTTGGGCTGAAGCAGCTCCGGATATGCCTGTGTCTGCTGCCCATCACCTTCATTTACTGGGTAGACCAGAAATGTAAATAGTGCAGTTCTGGAGAAGCCTGAAGTAGCTTTCTGCTACTTCTGCATACTCATTTCTGAATTACCAGTTTCTCATGGCAATAAATCTAAGTGAAAACGAAACGCTTTTCCGATTGCCTGCTTCCAACCACTGCCCCAGCAGCTTTCAAAAAACAAACCGCTTCTCTGAATATAAAACCCCTCACTGACATAGCAAATAACAGGAAAAGAGTAAGTCAGGCATCATCGGAACAGATGAGTGACAGAATTTCATAAGGTATGCCTGTGTGTACATGCACAGACACATACAAAACTATAAAAAAAAAGTTCAGAATTCCCAGCTACTTTGCAAACAACTTGTTTCCTTAAATCACTCAATGAATTGTGCTATACTTGTTAGGTTGCTATGGCATCTGAGCTCATCCAACAACATTTGACAGATTTTTATCTGTGGCTCACAAACCACACTGAGCAAATTGAAAATCCCCGGTTACACCGTCCTTTATATCATTTCCTGTGAGATAAGTCTGAAGAACAAACTTACGCATACAGCGTGTCGGTGTACAGACAGGCTTGCATAGCTCATGAAGTAGGATGACACCTGTCTGACATAATGCCTGGAGAGTGACAAACATTGCACGGGACACTCCAGTGCTTTTATAAATAAGAGTGGAGCAGAAAAGCGCTGAAATGTTGAGAGAAGACCAGACAGTCTCTTCAGAGAGAAGCCAGCAGATCAGATAGTCTCTTTGCTGTGCACTAGGCAAATAACTGAGATTGCACATTCTTCCTTAACGCTTGGGTTTTGTTGTTTCTAGTCTTTCCTGCACCTAAAGCTGATGCCTGTTGGAGAAGACTGGGAAGACAGGAGCACTGGGTTTAAAGGAACGTAAATGCCTGCTAGGATGGCACTGGCCAGTTCACTTTCTAGCAAGCCAGTGCCACCACGCTCCAGAAAAGTTTCTACGACGGGGGTGGAAGTGCACCAGAGCAAGCTGGATTTTTTCTGCAAGCTGGGCTATGGTAAGCAGGACATCTGCAAAGTGCTGGAGAACCTGGGCCAAGAGGCCCTGGAGGATGATGTGCTGAAAGAACTGATTCGGATGGGGAGCAAACCTCAAGCTCTGGAGAGCCAGGCTCAACCTTCCCAGCTAAAACTTGTTGCCCGTGGATCATGTGGCACTTCACAAGGGTCGAAGTTGCTTGGAGAAGATGAGAGTGATTCTTCTGACCACTTGAGACCCATTGTGATCGATGGCAGCAATGTTGCAATGAGGTAAGCTCTGTTTCCTAAAAAGGAGCTCTCTTCCTCTGAAGCTTTTGAATTTTAAAGGTGATGGCTTGAAGTATGTTTTTTTCTTCAGGTGAGAGGTGCATTGATGTATTTGATGTATAATGTATGAACCACTGCTTGCTCTTGTTCTTTGGCTGAGGCACAGCTTCTGGGGACCTGCTATCTCGATGCCCATAAATACGCACGCCAAATGCAATCACTGGCTCGCTCTGCATTTTGACCTTTTATAACCCACCAGCTAGCTAACCACTGCTGTTTATGGCAGGATGATTCAGCAGCTCTCCCTCCCTTTTAGTTCACTCTTGATGTTTTCCTGCCTTTTCAAATGGGTACCTGCGATTTCTGAACCTGTATATTGAGGTGTTTCCAGGAAAAACTGATGACCAGATAGATAGAACAACCCAGCTAGCTTAAGAAGGAGAAGGAACATAAAGACGGGTGGCTGTGGTTCCTAACAACATCACAATTGTACTGTTTTGCTTTGCAAGTAAACCCCAGCAATGTTCCCAGCTTGTATATTTTTGTTGGTTTTCGGTTTGGCTTCATTATGATGGAAATATCAGGAAATCAATAGTTGACTTTTGTACTAAATAGTCTTGTTTCTTCCTTAATTGACTCTGTTTCTGGGAAATCTCATAGCAACCCATCCTGGCCAATTACATTTCCTAAGCAGTGTCCTGACACTGTGAAAGCACTCGCACTGATGGGGAGCCTGGCACATCCCTGTGGACGGGAAGTCCAAGGACAGCAGCGGGTTGGCCTCGGCTTACCCGAGCAATACGAACAGCCAGAGGCCCTGGCAGTTGAGAGTCCAGGACGCACTGGCTCTCCACTGTTTTTCCCTGTTAACTTCCCTTCCCGCTCAGCATGGCCAAGCCCGTCCTCGCAGGGTGGGACAGGGCGGAGGAGGGCTTCCTCCTTCGGTTAGCTTTGGTGTGAGGTGAGATGAGACCACATCCCCTCTGGTTAGAAGGCAAAGAGGACAAGCACAACCAGAGCAACTGGCGACTAAGTAAATTATGCCATCTTCTGGATGAAGGGAGAAATCCCATCCGACAACAAGGGCTTCCTCGGTCAGGGCAGCTCCCGAGCAGTGAGAAATACACGGGGGTGGTGAAATGCTGGAACAGATTGCTCAGAGAGGTGGGCGATGCCCCATCCCTGGAAACATTCAAGGTCAGGTTGGACAGGGCTCTGAGCAACCTGATCGAGTTGAAGATGTACCTGGTCATTGCAGGGGGGTTGGACTAGCTGACCTTTAAAGGTCCTTTCCAACCCAAACTATTCTATGATTCTATGAACAGAGCAAAATTGCTTAGCCTTGGCTGGGCCATGAGCTTGGTAGCCAGGTATTAGGAACTCGTGCTCCCATTTGCATTTTCACCCTAGACCCTCCTTAGGGTGTCCTTCTTGCCTCTCTGCAAAAGAAATGAGGACCCGTTCAGGCAGAGTGGCTGAGCTGAGCACCTGCCCTGTCATTGTGTTAGGGGCAACGCTACCCCTGACTGGCCATGTGCTCCATTCTCTTGGCACAACCTTGTCCTCAGCGATTTACCAGAGCTTTTTTAGAGCAGGCAGAGGTGAAAAGGCAGAGAACAGCATTGTTTCCAAGATGGCAGAAGATGCACCTCCACCACTGAGCAGGAGGCCCAGACGAGGTTGGTGGCTAATGAGAGAGTGCATGTTTGGAGCTTGGAGTACACTGGGAAAGCTCGGAGGCCATCCTGCTGCATAAGCCCACGCACGGGAGCTTGCTAGACAGAGATTATTTAAACCAAATGTCATTACAGGTATGTGCAGCAGATGGCTTCAGCTAGCATGTCATATCGCTTTCCTAGACCGCATGCCCACCTAAATGGGTTTTCAAGAAGCCACTCATGCTTCTGGCATACAAAATTTAAATATTTTTGAAGAATAATTTCCAAAATTTTAGGCTTAGAGATGTTTGCCTGCTAGATTATTGAAGGCTAGTGTTCTGCCATGGATTCCTCATCTTTCACCTAAAAGGAATCAGAGGAATGTGAAGTATTTTTGAGTTTCAAACAGGCAAAGGTTTTAGAACTCCTCTCAGACATCCCCAACCTCTGTCTTGATAAAGTTGAAGACCACTTGGCACGATGGAGAAGACTATTGAGCTTGTTAGTTCCTACTGAACAAACACAGCCTGGAAGGAGCTGCTTTCCTCTCCTAGATGCTTTTCTAGAGTGGTGCTGAATGACATTTACTTTGGCTAATGGGATGGACTTGGTGAGTGATTTTGGTATCCTTGTTTTAATTTTTCTGGTTTGCTGTTGTCAGACGGAGAAGGGCTGTTTGCAGCATAGTCAGGGAAATGGGATGTTAGGTTTCCTTGCCGTGAAAACATCGTCATCATCAACACCAACAACCATAAAAGTGCAGGAGAAGCAGCAGTTTAGGGATGAAGCTGTCAAAAAGTTGAAGCTTGGCAAGGCAGTGTGTTGCTTGGATAGAGAAAAGCAGCTCAAGCATTTGTACTTCTGTCTTGGGACTGGTGTTTCTGGAACACTTCAGAATTGGTGTGGAAGGCCCATTGCAGGGTGCAAGGTTTTGAAAGGGATGTATATGCCCCAGGGTAATAAAGCAAGTGAGCTGGCAGTCTCCAATCATCAATCAGCCTGTCCATAGAAACCGAATGGAAAATAACCTTGCCTCCAGCCAGTCTCACTAGTCAGATGTCTCAGTACACTTTGCGTTTCCATCAGATGTAATGAGAAACTTAGCTGTCTGCCAGCCCCTCCATGGGAGGTGGGCAGGACGGTTTAGCAAGGCTAGTGGAAAAAAATAAATTGAGTTGTGTTAATATGAAAAGGGAACTGTCATAACCCCATTCGCTGCACACCAAAGAGGCTATCTAGTCTAGCGCTTGTGCTTACACCCAGTTTTTAAGGCTTTTCCTAGGCCAGTGGAGTTCTGCGTTAGGCTCTCTCATAGCTCTCTCATAGCTTCTGCCAAAGCTGTGGCTGATGCTGTGTCGTGACCAGGTAGGGAGGGGTCCATTTGAAGTTTCCAAAAGGAATTGTTTTGACTAAATGTCTTCTTGAAAGCATTTGAATTCCACAATTTAAAAACGAATTGGTTTCTGAGAGAAGGGCCCTGCTGATCTGTGACCCAAGTATGACTTATCCTGTTGCTGACAGGACAGAGAGTGATGGGACTGAGTTCCACAGATCTGTCATCAGGCAACACAAATTGACCATGCAGGAGAATGAGAAGTTTTAAAGCCCCGTCTCCATTGCATGGCAGGCATGGTGTTCCGCTGTGTCGACACTGCAGCGCACCATGTGTGCACATACTATTTTAGATACACATTCCTCAGGTTTGGCTGTAGCAATACAGCAGCAACTGGATTAACTGATAATGCTGAGAAACAATTCCAGGTGCCTCTCTTACATTTCTCTCTTGTTCTGCTCGGCCTTTTGGCCGAATCACTTGTGCTTGACTGCTTTACCTTCTGCACTGGGGATACGTCCAGAATTACTTTCCTCAAGCGTCAGCTTTATATATACGAGTAGTCAATATTAAAGCAGGCTGCTGTTGAACTTTGTTTGAGTCATCGGCATTAAAGATGTACCTAGACTTCCTTTTAAAGGCAGTTATCTCAAAAAGGCATCGGCACTTGCAATTCACCTGTTCAGGTGACTTTATACCTATCCTGCGCAGACCTTGTCCTTTAAAACCAAATAGGACAGTTGCTGTAGAATGGACATTAGATGTGTTGAGCACTTCAGACCCTTTATTATTGGTGTTTGGTTTTGGTTTTTTTTTTCCAAGACTTCCTATTGCCTGGGTAGCTATTAATAACAACCAGGGTTTCCCTCCAAACTGCACTGTTTTTCATTTGTGGTCACCATTCCAGCACTGAAACTTTTATTAGGTGTAAGATGGAGCTTTTGATTATGAAACTGATGTAGGCAGAACCTACACTTGAATTCCTGGGGGATGGTGGGGAGAGAAGCATTTAAGACAGCAGCATCATCCTTGACTGGTTTGTCACTGCAGGTAGGTGTAGTAACCAAGAGAGTCATTTACAAGTACATTCTGCAGAGGTGAAAGCCTGAGTGAGACTGGTGATATTACCGAGAAAGCTCAAAGTACAAGGATGAGATTTCTGTAGATACTGTGAGGACGTTTGTCCATTTTAGGACTTAGTGTAGAGTTTGGTTTTGTTTCCTTGTGCAGAGGTAGTTGAAAAATTTTCTTCCTTTACATGTGCACTGCACTGTAGTCAAATTTTAGATACGAGAATGACAAGGAGTAAGAACTTTCAGTGCGTGTGAGAGAAACTTAGGAAGGATATCACCCCAAATTGTTTTTCTTGGCGGGGTTTTCTGTGTCACTTAGGTGACAACAACCCCATGCAGCACTACAGGCTTGGGGAAGAGTGGCTGGAAAGCTGCCTGGCAGAAAAGGATCTGGGGGTGCTGGTGGACAGCCGACTGAATCTGAGTCAGCAGTGTGCCCAGGTGGCCAAGAAGGCCAATAGCATCCTGGCCTGTATCAGGAATAGTGTGGTGAGCAGGACTAGGGAAGTGATTGTCCCCCTGTACTCAGTACCGGTAAGGCCCTGCCTCAAGTACTGTGTTCGGTTTTGGGCCCCTCACTACAAGAAAGGCTTTGAGGTGCTGGAGTGTGTCCAGAGAAGGGCAACGAAGGTGGTGAGGGGTCTGGAGGACACATCTTACGAGGAGTGGCTGAGGGAACTGGGGTTGTTTAGTCTGGAGAAAGAGGGGAGATCTTATTGCTCTCCACAACTACCTGAAAGGAGGTTGTAGCGAGGTGGGGGTAGACCTCTTCTCCCAAGTCACAAGTGATAGGACAAGTGGAAATGGCCTCAAGTTGCACCAGGGGAGGTTTAGATTGGATCTTAGAAAAATGTTCTTCACCTGAGAAGTTACCGAGCACTGGAACAGACTGTCCAGGAAGTGGTGGAGTCGCCATCCCTGGAGGTATTTAAAAGATGCATAGATGTGGTACTTAAAGACATGGTTTAGTGGTGGCATTGGCAGTGTGAGGTTGATGGTTGGACTAGATGATCTTAAAGGGCCCTTCCAACCTAGACAATTCGATGATTCTATGAATATTGATAATTCTCCAGAACCCACTTTGCCTGTATCCTCTACAGCACCCATCCTAGGGTTTTCCTACCTCTTTGTAGGAAAATCCACCCACTAGGGCAAGATAAAGATGGCACTGAGGTGCCTGTGGCTATCTCCACTTAGATCTTATCCCTTTTTTGGTGTCCTGGGTTAGGTTTTCCATATTTGCCATCCTGCCTCTTACAGTTTTCCCTCCCTCACAGTTTGACTACTGTTTCCAAGAGTGGTCTGCAGCTGAATGATCTTCGATCACATTTGCAGCTGCCTCAGACATTAAAATCCCTAATGTCACTTACCACAGAAGAAAATTCCAACGCATTGTTTCTCGTAGGAGAGCCTCATGGGTTTCTGCTTGTGGTGGAAGAAACTCTGACTCCTCAAACCATTAACAGACAAGGCACATGAAGGGTCTGACACAGCCTAGGATCTTGCTGGTACTTTAGGACCCAAGTCCATCCAGATACAGATGGAAGTAGCAGGCCAGTCATAGAAATGGGGGAGAGGATACCTCTGTTTTTAAGTATCCAAACTGCTGGAGGAAGTGTTTGGATCTGTCCAACCAGGACACCCTGCCAGGTTGTTTTCTTGGAAAGTGGTGAATTACACAAAAGCTGTTTGTTTTGCCTTTTAATTACTGGCTTGGTTAAAGAGAACTCTAAGCTTCTTGAAAGCTTTGCCTCACCATCCTCCTCCTTTTTTTTTTAATAGTCATGGAAACAAAGAGATATTCTCCTGCTGGGGGATCCAACTGGCAGTGGATTGGTTTCGAGAAAGGGGGCACACGTATATCAAGGTTTTTGTCCCACTCTGGAGAAAGGAGCCCCCTCGACAAGACAGTCCAATTGCTGGTAGGTGACCATCCTGGGCATAATTTGGCAACCGTTAGGTGCAGTTTAGAGGCAAGGGGTGTGAAGAGTCCAGTACAGTTTTGCTCTGTAAAGACAAGCACAGTGCAAGTTGCATATCAAGATAACATCACTTAAATTAGTCATTAATTTACTGCCACACGCTCCTGGCTAGCAGCTACGTCACACTGCTTTGAGCCTTCTGCTTTAGAAGCACAAGTTGCTGCCAGCTGAGTTAAAGAGAGAGCGAGTTTGTCAGCTTGCAACAAGTCTGCAGAGCTTTTAAGGCCAGCCAGGAGACAACAGCATCGTTTCACACATTATCCAAAGGTGGCAGTTTCTGAAGCATTCACTACTGCATGACTATTATCTGTTAGCCTGTTACCCCAATACAGGAGCTACGTGGGTTCCTCTCCAAGGAGAAGGAAATGCACCATCTGAAGTTTGTGGAGGGTGGTGAGATTTAGTTTGTATGGAAATAAATCTGCCAGATGTATGCCTGCAGCTGCAGATGAGGCAGCTGGGGATCCGTCTTTCGGTGTAGCAGGAAGGACAAGAAGCCAGAGTGTCCTCAACGGCAGCAGCAGCAGTGTGTTTATTTATTTATTTTATCATCAGGCACATTTTATCTCCTCGTAACAATCAAACCAGGGCTGGCTATGAGCCTTCTAGCATCTAGTGGGGTAAAAAGGGAACTACAGCGGTTCAAATTCAGCGTATCTCTGGTGTAGAATTCAAGCCATCCTTCTCTGGATAAGGCTTAAAAATTAAAAAGGTATCTCAAATTTTAAGATTAGATACTTCTGCAAAAGACCTAATTTTCAAGTTGCCAAACAACCACCAGATATCAGTGCATCGGAAAATCACACAGCTTTAAGATGCCTACAGTGCTGGAACATCTTTAGATTCCTGTAGGTTTCTAGCATGCAATTGAGACCTGATCATGACTAATTCATTATTTTTTTAATTTTTATTTTCTCCCCTTCTATTTCTGCCAACCACACCACCAGATCAGCACATTCTTGAAGAGCTTGAAAAGCAGTCGATCCTTGTATACACCCCGTCCCGGAAGGTGAAAGGCAAGAGGGTAGTTTGCTACGATGATCGCTATATAGTGAAAGTTGCTTATGAGAAAGACGGAGTCATTGTTTCCAATGATCATTACCGGGATCTCCAGAATGAAAACCCCGAGTGGAAATGGTTTATTGAGCAGCGACTACTCATGTACTCTTTTGTCAGTAACAGGTAAGAGGCAGTTGTTCAACAATCTTGAATTTAAACATTATGGGCCAAGTCAGCTCTAACATCAGTGCACCTCCCACTGGTAGCAGAGTACCCGAGCTTTTTCTCTGAAAGGAATTTACCGCAGCTTTTCTTATCTCATTTCTTTAGTCCCTGTTCCCCCAGCTTTGATCTTAACCCCCCATGTCACTCTTCAATGAACTTCTCTGTTTGAATGGCAGCATTAGTGACCAGCTTTGCTGATCCAAACGGGGGTGTTAACCCAAGGCTTGGTATCTTTTAATTTCTATTTCCTATAAGAAACCAAATTAAATCCGTGAGAGAAGGCTGGCTCTCTGGCAGTATTTTTAAGTCCTCTACAAGGCAGAACAGTTCTTTTTCCTATGATTTTGTAATCATAACTTTCTAGAATAAGAGAGACAAGAAGCTGGTCTATCTGGCCCTTAACCATCCCCACTTGGGAAGGTTTTCATTAAGGCACTTGCACCGTGCCCGCGAGGCTGAGCTGCACGCTCCTCAGCCTGGACCTACTACTCTTGTCTGAGTTTCCTAGTAGCAGAGGTGTTTGTCAGCCACCAGTTTGGCTGGGGAAATGTACTCGGAGACATCCAGTGTGCACGGATGAGTGCAAGTGGAGACACCAACTCACACAGTGGCTCTCTCCATGGGTCAGGATGGAGACTCGGCTCTCCCACCACCAAAACTGGATGGGAGTGCTTGGCACTGGGTTTCAGTTTCCCTGTAACATTGTTCACAGAAATGCAGTCGCTGAACATCAGCATACTGTATTTCTCAAATCTCTGGTCTGTCCAGCTCCATTCAGCCCAGCTCCACCAGGCTTCTTCAGGGTTACAAATATTTATATGATATTTTCCTTCCTATTTCATAGGGATTGCCAGACCTTTTCAGAACCCTTCCCTCAGAAAGTCTAGCTGTTACTGTAAAGCGCATTTGAATAGTTTCAGTAGGACCTTCTTGCACAGCTTTGGGAACCTCTCTAAAACCACAGCCTGAAGTTGAAGGTCTCGGTTCCGTTATGTGGATAACCAAATTCCCTGAGTGCCTCCCTTCCCCTCCTGCCTGCAATGCCCTTCATCCGACAGTGAGTTGTTCCATGGGTGAGTGCAGTGCAGATTCATTTGCAAACAAGTCCAGAGTTGCTAATTAGTTTTCTTCTTGAAGAACCGCATTCAGGTACTGGCACAGAAGAATAAACAGTTTTATCTGAGCATTTTGCAGGCCTTGTACCAGGAAGCCTTTACTGAGTCCTTGAAAAAGGCTGGGCTTGTTTATCACCCCATGTGCATGATCAGCTGTAGCTCTGAATTGACTGCTGGCTTTTTAATCCTCGTTCTTCTCCGAGTATTTAGTAAGAGAAAAGGGAACGGAGCTGATGGTGAGGACCGCAGTGCTGGCACCACAGAAGAGTTTGCTGCTGCTGCTTCAGAGAAAAAGGAAGTGTTGCTGCAATGGCTGGGACCACTGGTTGGCCGGACCTACGCCAAGTCACCGTGCTTTCCAGTTTTTCAAGTTACTAGAAAAAAAATGACAACTACATGAAGCTGAAGCATTGTTGTCTTTGCAGGCAGGAGGGCACTGTGTCTAGTAACGCAGCCTGACTCCCGACGGCCAGGCCGCAAAAGGATCACAAGGATTTTCTGCCCTAAGCTCATGCCACAAGCTGTGATGGCACTTTAGCTCCAAAAGCTTGAGGTATTTTTGTTACCCCCTGCCCCATGACTTTTTCCTTTTTCAGGTTTATGCCTCCTGATGATCCCTTAGGCCGGCATGGACCCACTCTTAAAAACTTCCTCAGCAAAAAGCCAGTGCTTCCTGAACCAAAATGGCAGCCTTGTCCCTATGGTGGGTTTCTCTCTGTGCTGTGAACTGCCACCCCTCTCCTTCCTGTGCCTGGCTTCCCAGCGGCGCTTTCCTTCAGCTAAGGGCAGGCACCATGGCCACGTGCTGTCCTGCTGCGTGTGGTGGGGCCTTGGGTCTGGGCTGCTCACGGGTGGGATGCTTTTTTCCTCTCCTGCTTAAGTGGCTTCAGCCTCAACAAAGGCAGCAGCTGCTTTTGGCTCCTCCATCCTCCCCTGCAGGCGGCACCCAAAACAGGCGCCCTGGCCGTGCTGACTCCCCCCCAGCTCCCCAGCCTGCACACACTTTTCACTTTGCAGCCTGGACTTGTATTGTGGCATACAAACGCTTCCCCTCTCTGCCCTCCCAACAGCCTTCCACTCACATGGAGGCTTCTCAGAGGTAAATCCCTATGCATGTTTTTTTTTTTAAAGCAACCTTTTGACTGAGTATGGCAACCAGAACATTAATAAATTTCAGACACTTCCAAAATAGCAGGGACTTCCCTTCACTGCTGCTTCACCCTGCTGTTTCGGGCAGCAGTATTTAAATCTGGGGTCAAAAGTACTCAATTGGAAAGTAGCACTTCCCCTTTTCGCTGTTTGTGCTCCCCACGCCCCTGCAAATGCACAGAGCTGGGGAGAAGTGTATGTTAACTGACATGGGTGCTGGTGACAACCTCCTGTTTGCTTTTTTTTTTTATTCTTTCAGGTAAAAAATGCACCTATGGCAATAAATGCAAATTTTACCACCCAGAGAGACCTCATCAAGCTCAGCTCTCTGTTGCTGATGAGCTCAGGGCCAAAATAAGGGTCCCATTAAGCTGTGGGAAAGAGGAGGAGAAGCGTAACCACTCGCCGTACAGGACAGGAGAAGAGCCCGCACCACCTGATGCCGGCACAGAAACGCTGCCAGAAGCCAGCGGCTGCACAGGGGCTTGCTGCCACCAAGGGTGGTCCCGGGGAAGCTGTCCTGAGCAGCTGTCCGGTGCCTGGGCTGGTGTCCCTGGCTCTGAACTGGGGCTGGACCAGCGTTCGCTACAGCCAGAGCTGCTGCGAGACCAGCTGCTCCTGGAGAAGATGTCAGCACTGGCCATCAGTGAGGACACCTACAGCTACAATCGGTCCCTGCACACCTCTCAGGACAGAGACGTGATGGACAGCCCTCATTGCTGTGGTGACCTCAGGCATAACCCCTACTCACTTCGTCACCCCCATAGCAGCCCCATGGACCACACCTGCCTACCGGGATGCCCCTTCCAGCAAACAGTGCTCCCGCCTGCACGGAGCGGGATGTGCCCAGATGCCAGCTGGCCCCAGGAGTGCTGCGGCATGCATGGCGTGGGTCAGAGGAGCCGCTATGTCCCTGGTGGTACTCAGCACACACAGGGCCTGGAGACTCAGCCCCACGTTTTGCCGCAGTCTGCAGCTCTTCCCCCTGACCCGCTTCACTTTTACGGCGAGCATCAGCTGCAGCAGCAGCATCACCGTTTCCCCAGCCGGCCCCTGGGGCAACCCTTTCTGTTGGACTCCAGCAATGGGCTGGGCTTCTTCCGGAAAGCCCATGCTTACCCCGATGCCTCTTATGGTGACTACTGGCCCGCCCCAGCTGTGAAGCCACCATCTGCCCAGCAAGCAAACATACACAGGGACCTGTGCTCCCTTTTCCCTTACAGTGAGGTGAACCACATCATGGCTTTGTACCCCGATATCAAGGATATTGCTAGCTTGACTTTACTCATTCAAAGACACCGAAACTTGTGAAGCCTCCAGATCAAACCTTTCCTGACAAAAAGATGCTACTCTGAGGCTTAACTAAGTGTTATTAAAGAGCTTTATGGCAAGGGTTATAGCTGTTGCAGGAGGACAAGTCTAAGCATCAACCAGCTACGTCACACTGGGGCATCAAGTCAAGACAAATGCTGCCGGTCCCTGCAGTGGGATCTCATTCACCTCCCATGGAAGTGAATGGGAGGGCTTGGGGTAACTGAGCCCCTCACCTCACTGGTGACAAGTTTCAGCATGGCAGAGAGCTTCATTAATGCCTTGAAATACTAGATGTTTTTAAAGTCCTGACCTATTGTTCAACTCCTGTAAAAGGACCATACTCCATGGTCCCCAGTAAAGTCCTCTCCATAGACCTCCCACGACCACTTGCTCAGCAACTTAGTAATTTAGCCTATTTCCCCTAGCACAGGGCTGTGCTCTCTGCTAGAAGACATCTTTGGGTCCACATTATTGCCACATACAGGCCCAGCTTTCAAAGTGAGCGAGCTTTCAAAGGTATGCCTTGTGTTTATAAACCAATGCTGTGGACACACAGAATCACTAGCAAGGATGGTGGAGGTATGGCAGAGCATCTGAAGATAGCTACAGGTACATTTCCTCAGGGATCACGCACAATGTGAGTCAAATCAGGGAAGTCATCTTCAATGTATGTCCTGATATGGACTGAGGGCTCCGGGGTGTTAATTCAAAAAAGAAGAAATGCAGATGAGGCCATGAGGAAAACAAAACAAACAAACAAACAAAGAGCTTTAAACTGTCTCTGTTGTATCAAACAAGAAAATTATTGTTGCCTTAACCCTTAATGACCAAACATGGTCCCATAATGCAATTATAGAGCCGATTTATGATTACAAACATTTAAACTCTGTTCTGTTGGGACACGTTTGATTTTCAGTAAGCTGTAAAGCTGCTAATCTCTTCATTATTCCCCTGAATTCTTCAGGTTGTAATTCAAACATTAAGGTTGATCCTGAAGGTTTTTGGCATTATACCAAAATTTAAGTATGTCAGTATGACATGGTTTAGAAATGCTTTAACACATTATAAAATGGTCATCTAAAACACTTTGTTCTGAATAATGTAATCTCTTATTTTATTTTATTTTTTTTCCATTCCTCTTAGCACTGATGTTTCATCAAGTCCAACATTCAGGTGGAGTTTACAAACTCTCTCCCCCTGCAGTATCTCTGTTGGGTTCTTCTCTGAAGTACAGGTCCCAGGCAGGAACTATACATGGCCCTCACTGACAAATCGGAATTCTCTTGCTTTCGAAAAGGTGACTAAGTAGTAATTTACCTTCAGTGACATTATCACATGATGCGCTTTGTGAAAGTGGTGGTACTTTAACCTGTTTGCCTCTGGAAACCATCAGCAGCTTTTTTTTGGTGGTGCTGTTTAAAGAATCTTCAGGAAATGAGTATACGGTATGAGTTCAATCTATTATGGTCACCTAGTTGGCTCCAAGAATTTCTAATTTGGAGTTTGGAGGTATGATTTATCTCCACAGAACATGGCAGTTTTTTCCATATGTTGTGAATTTTCCACTAATTATAGTCATAATATATATTATAACTGTACCACCAGCACGGCTTATAAATTTATCCACTGCATATTACATAAAGATCAGAAATGACATTAAAACAGAACTACGGAATAAATGCCCCGTGAAATGCTTTGAAAAGTGGAGCTTTTGAAAAGATGGAGCTCTACATCCATCCTTAGTTGTGCTGAAATACGCCATGCAGCACACAACACGCTGAAGCGACCCGAGACATTTCATGGATGCCTTTATTGTGCCTGTGCAAGGCCAGGCTCACTGGCTTGCCTAACTACCTGTACTGGAGCTTTCCCGGCCACCGCTGTAAATATACATATATACTGCTGTACACGTATATACACTCGCAGAGAAAGTGCGATGCAGAGTGGAAAAATACCATCCCCATAGTCAAACGGAGCAAGTCCCAGATGACAGCATTCAGAAAACACATACACAGCAACAGAGCAGGATATAAGCGTACATGTCAACATTTATTTTTACGTCTGGAATGTATGTTACACATTTCAATACAGAAAGCATTTAAAACCTATAGGAAAACTGGCACGTTGCCTTTATATAGTGCCCTCGGCTTGCTGGACACATGTCCGTAAGCTTTTCTCCTTTTCCTTTAAGGATGCACAGGAATTTGGTGGTTGTTCAAAACCCTCTCTTGATGTCTAATAACTTATTTTTCTTTCATTTCTGTCTTATTCACTGGGGTGTCTTTCAGTAAAACGCATAGAACGTGCATTCTGCTGAGAAAGTGTCTGAGAAAATAAATCAGACTTTGGCCCTGAACAGAACTTGGTTTCTCTTGGCTCTTCTGCTCACCAGAGGGTTTTTTCTCATGGAGCTTTTGTTTGAAGGGCAGCTCAGCAGCAGCGCTGTGTCATTGCCTGCTCCAGAGGAGCTCTGCTGCTGGCCCGGAGCCCACGGAAAGCACAGGCTGTTTTGGTATTCCCCCACGGCACAAGCATCTGGGACTCAGGAGGTTCTGCTGCAGAGCCTTTTACGCTTTCCAAGACAGGAGGGTTTCTTTTTGGCTTTGTCAGCTCCTGAGGTAAGGGAAGGAAGGGGCTGCGAAGAGAGAGGCAGTGGCAGCTTTTGCACAGCCAGGTTAGGAGGCTGCTGCTATTTGGTGTCTCTGCTGAGATGCATTTGAGTCCAGCTCTCACTGCCAAGTTGAAAATGAATTCATAAATCCCAGCAGGCTCGGCAAGCCCTTGATGTTCTTTGCTTTTGGGTTGTCAAGAATCTTTTAGAAGAAGCTGGAAGCAGTGGGAGCAATCCTCCAGCAGACGGGCTGCTTTCCTAGGGGAGAGTTACAGAGTTGCCAAGTTCATTTTAAGAGGGAAAAAAAAAAAAAAAAAAAAAGTCATAAAAGAGAATCCTCTTCCTTCTCTACTCTCACCCTTTCCCAAAGTTAGGAAGCCATAGACACCCTCCTTTGTGAGGGGCTAGGGAAACTAGATACAAATATTTCACTGGAAAGTCTTGGGTGGAAGTCACCCCTGCAACAGCTCCTCAGCATAAAAAGGGGGAAAGAGGGTGGTCCTCTCCTGAAGCAGTCCTGGGCAGCTCACACTACCTCCCTCCCACCTCTTCTTAAGTACAGAAATTTCTCCCTCACACAACACTGGTGACAAGTCTACTAATTTGCTGAGCTCAGATACCATAAGCATTAATGCCATAAGACACTCTGTGAAGTAGATAATAATCTTGCTCTCTATCAAACACTTGTATTTGCCAATTATTCTGAGAAGTTTTGCTAATATTTTAGCACAAGAGCCGGCACAATTTATAAGTAAACATTTGAACTAATCACAAGCAGCTAAATAGAACAAGACAGTTTTCACAGCTTCTCTCGTTCTTAAAAAAAGTTGGATTGCTAGGGAAGAACAAGCAAGCCCTGTACTTCACCAAGCGTGACAGACCACCTCTGCATGTCAAAAAAACCCACTAAAGCCTCTGGTGAAAGCCTTTAACGGACAGACTCCTACGTTGGACACAGGTACTTTACATACGTATTTCTAAGAGAACAATTCAGGTATTATCTTTCGCCTTTTCCATGGACTTTTCCGAAATCAGGAGTCAGAGGATCTCAGTTTACCCCTGGAGCTGTAATAAGCCCTTTGCTTTTCTGCCCCAAGGTATGTCTGCTCTGCGTTCACTCACGTATATACAAGACCACTCTAGTATTTACCTCCTATGTGCTAGTGGGACTGGGATGCTTTAAGCTTTTGAGAACAGTTTAATATTACAGCACCACTTGTCACCAGCATTATTAAGAAAGGCCTATGACTTGCAACTGATGGTGAAGGGATTTTTCTAGCATTTTAGCCACGTCCCTTCTCTGCCTCAAGTTGGGCTCACTGCCTTGAGGTTGTGCAGCAGGCTCAGAGGAACTCTTTAGTAAGATGTACTGATGTGCTGACTTGACAAATGCAATCGAAACGGACATGCAAATGCAGCAAAGCTGTGAACACAGCAATTTGTGGGGACAACACATGCAGGGCTGCCAGGCCTTTGAATGCAGTAAGGAAATTAGACAATGTGCCTCTGCCAATGAGTGGCAGCATCAGAATCGCTCACTGTAGGCGCACTGCCAGCTCCTCCTCTTTGCCTTCCCCTGGATCATACAATTTCCTAGGCTTCCCAAGTTTTTCCACATTTTTTTTTTTCTCTCCTGTTCCCGCTGGGCTCAGGATATCCATTGCAGTCTTTATGGAGTGGGTCACAAGTTACAGAACCTTTCCCTGTCCCAGCCCCTCTTCTCCCACCTCCGCAAAACGACATGCCCCCACCCGCTGCCACCCCAAACTCCCGTCTCTCCCCTGCTCCCTCCCCAGCCCAGGTACTCACCTCCTCCCTTGCTGTGCCATGTGCTCCTCCCGCTCAAGCCCAGGTTACATCCTACCTCTACCCTCACCTCTGCTCTCCAGCTGAAAGCTTTTCTAGAGGTTTATTTTTATTTTTTCATATTTTCTTTTTCTCCTTTTTTGTTTTTAATGTTGTGTGATTTTGGGTTTTGTTGTTACAACCATGACATAGATACCTTCAGCCCAACAGAGATCCGATACGCTCAGGCGGTTTTCCCATCGCCCCTTAAAGCGGTCTTCCTAGCAAAAGCTGTTTGGGGAAGGAAATGTAGGCAAAGTTACGTTCACAGGTGCTTGTGCTGACTTTGTACAGCTTTCTCTCCTCTAAGGACCACCCGGGATGCCAGCAGAAATTCAGCCACCATACACTCTTAGTTACCTTAAATCCTACTGTAAAAGCAACATTCATCCTTCGACCTAACATCACTGAGACGGTACATTTGAGGGAGTTACGAATACTACTGGTTTCATACAGAAGACAAATGGGCATTAAGACACTGAATGGCAGAACAAAACTAGAAGCAGGCAGCAAAACATGGATGGCATAAAAAACCCCAGTC